TTAATAATTAAAAAGTAGGTTTGTTATCATCAAAACATCAATTAATTGATTGAAATTAATTAGAGTGAGATCAAGGCCAAAAAGCCAACACAATTAAGCCTCTCAAGCTCGTCGATTCTCATGAATTACATGTCTTCATCTAGGAGTCTTATCTTAGCAAGTCTAATGGGTTTGAGGACAAGCTAATGTCTGAGCTAAGCGAGATGGTAGGCGTAGCTACCTTGTTGAGTGAGTAAATCTCAGCTCATTAGTAGAATGGCACAATGTTTTAGCCTGAATATTTGATATATAACAAGTATATACGAACCAGCTAAAATCTATGATGGCCTAATATTGTAGCTTGCATTGGCAGTGATATCACTTTGAACATTAGGTGTCTTTTGTCTCAAAACGGCGTTCGTTCCTCTCTCATACTAAATATTATCTTATCATGTGAGATCCCACATCAATTGGAGAAAAAAACGAAATATTCTTTATAAAGCTGTGAAAACCACTCTCTAGTAGAGACATTTTAGAACCATCAAGAAAAAGGAAAAGTCCAAAGAGAACAATATCGACTAGGAGTAAGTTTGAGTTGTTACAATTGGTATCAGAGCCAAACACCGGTTAGGAAGAGGGTGGCCACAGGGCGGTATACTAGCAAGAACGTTGAGCCCCGAAGGGTGGTGGATTGGGGAGTCCCACATCGATTGGAGAAAGGAACAAGAGACAACAAGGACGCTAGCCTCGAAAGGGGGTGGATCACACACCGGTTGAAAAGGAGAGCAAAGCATTCTTTATAAGGGTGTGACTCTCTCTAGCAGACGCATTTAAAAACCTCGAAGGAAAGCCTAAAAAGGAAATCTCAAAACGGGCAATATCTACGGGCGATGAGCTTGGGCTGTTACATTTCAAGTTCAACATGTTGGAGAAGGTTCGAGGATAGTTTAAAACCTTTTAAAGTAAAAGATCACTAAAGTCTTAACAGTTCTAAACTTGTAGTTCTCAACCATGAGTGAAATAATTATCAAAAAGATATATCAAAGGGCTTTTCTTTGTACCTGCTCATAGTAAACATTTCTGTAAACCACACTCAATGACCAAATTCATCCACAGAGCATCTAAATCAATAAACCCAACCATGTTAGAAAGTATATTAGCTACAAAATGTGGTGAATAGGTTCCAAAAAGACAAGATACAAGGCAGAAGAATCAATTCATTATACATCTAAGGAGGTCAAAACCAAACACTGGGGAAGACTCATATTTTGCATGTAAATAGTACAGATACTAAAATGAAATCTAAAGGGAAAAAAGGGAAAAATAACTCAAACTAATTAAGAACAAGATCCTACACGTCTATCTAGGCATCCAACAGTCCTTGGGAGTCTAAAGGCAGATACACTTGTGCAAAATATCCCCCTGGGATGCCATGATTGTTCATAAAATGCATAAAGAATTTCTAAAATCCAATGCCTTGCTTTCATATATTATCCCTATGGCACTTATAGATCACTCCTGCAGGCACAAATTATAGATATCACTAGACAGACCAGCACTTTTTTTCAAAGAATCATTGGCAATAAGAATGGCAGATTAGCTAGCTTACATCGGCATCAGATTTAGCAGGAGATGGGCTACGAGAATTGACTGGCTTATCATCTAGTGAGCCATTCTCTCTCTGAGGTGAATGTTCATCATCACTTCTACCCCTTGATGGTGTCCTACGTGGAGAAATGCTTCTCCGAGTATCAGGGGAATGTCGGGTGGGCGACATGCTTCAGTATAAAGTCATTTCCAATTAGAGTGCAGGCCAAAAAGAATTATAAGAATTGCAGTGAATGAAGGATGAGAACCTTGCATGGTTTTGGCGATGTGAGATGTCTAGAAAATTAAATGAAAAGTGCGTTTGGATATGCTCAAGAAACTTGAAATAAAACTCCTAGTAATGCTAGATCATTGATTTTGGAGTGTGAGACGTTACAATGGAAAAATTCTTTATAAAATATTAAAGCTCTAACAAGATATTTGTAAATATGTGAGCAGAATTCCAACGCTAAAATTCATAGCGATAACACACAAAAATCACTCTCAATGCATGCATGATCAATTTCTCAGTTGGGTTTTGTTCTTGTTCTTCACCACCATAAATGACTAGGTACCTTTGGTTTGACACATAGTGAACCCTATGTTGTAACTCTTTTGATTCAACAATACATGTTAGTCGATTTCTCAATTTTCTCTGGATTATTTTACTTCTTTTCGTCTAACCAACCCAAGTGAAATAGGAGCATGTTCTTAGCACGGAAAGAGTTACAATATGTGGAAATTTCAGATAGTCTCATTCATATTTGAACCTTTTATTACCTAAAAATCTGCTACATCTAAGTTTTTTGAGTCTAAGAAGAGAGTTTTTTTTTCCCTTATGGATCGATCTCCGGATTTTTTTCCATTGTATTACTAGATCACTGTTGGTGTATTGATTGTGCATGTGTTAAGAGGAGTTGTTCAAAAGCTATTTTCAGACAGTTTTTTTCCATCTACGAAAGATCACGATAAGATGGCTGAATAACTGTGCTTTTGCTTGTTTCTCTTGAGTGTGTTCTTCAAAGAGGTCTATTTTTCGTTCGCTTATTAGAATTATGGACTTATGGAGAATATTTCAAAGGCACGGTGATTATAATAAGCCATGTTCTAAAAAATATGTACCGTTTGGCCAACATACCCCTCTCTCTTTGCCGAACCTGGTAGATTAAAATGAGCACCTCTATGGTTCCACCCATCCCCTCCATGTAAGTAAATAACAAGACTTCAAATACTCCTATTTCACAACTACTAGAGTACGTGTTGCAAACCATAAAAGGATGGTAACTAACTAGAACCCATGCCAACCTTAGAACGCCTAAATACGATATCCCTTAAAAGTAATAAAAGAAAGAAAGTATTCATATACCTTCTATCGGAGCGGCTTGCACTACGCCTTTCATCATCTCTTTCTCTCCTCCGATCTTTATTACAGTCAGGACTAGCACTACGACTCCTACTTCTATGGCGTTCTCTCTCACTTCTGTGGGGTCTATCACGATCATATCTCTCCCGGCTTCTGCTGCGGCTTCTTCTCCTGTAATCCCTATCCCTGTAGTCATCACGGTGCCTGAAATATTTTGCAATCCATAAGAGAAGGTAGAATAACCAGCTGGAAATAATGAGATCACAATCAACTGCCTGTAATGATAAGAAACTCAATTTAAGACGAGCCTTATAACCTTTCGTCCCTTGTCCATAAAATTGTCATAATCAGTTAAACCAAATACACGTTTGTAACAGATTTAAGGTAGTTTCATATAACGATTCATGATTTTCAATATACTTCTTCAAGCATAAGACTGTTTCAATCATCCACACTTTTTGTGAAGTCAAGAACTGTGTCCTTAATGATTGTGTTAAACTTTACCATTAACTAGATTAACACACATAGCTAATTCTAGGTGTACCATATACACCAATTCTACTAAAGAAATTGCATTCACAACCAGATAAAAATTATTACCTCCTTCACTCTACACGACTATGCGGAAGGGGACATCGAAATTTTTCGTTTGAATTGCAGAGTAAACGAGGATAATTACCTCGAGAAAATATAAATTTCTTCACCAGAGCCCTGATTCGAACTCCAAGTTCAGATGCATTTAGACTAGAACTCTCACCTTGGACGTGGACTGCGGCTCCTTGACCTGCCCCTTGTCTTCGATGATGATGACTCCATCACCTTCCCCTTGCGACTGATACAAACCAAAATTCAAGAATCAAGAAACACGTTCTTGTGCAGCTGTGAAGTGTAACAAATTACATCCAAAAGCGTTTAAAATATTTATAGTAAACTCACATTTTCTCAGCATTGGGACCGTACTTGGCGAATTGAACCATAATTTCTCTACCATCCAACATTCGCCCTAGAGAACAGAGTAGAAACCCAAATTGGTTTCGCATATAAACAGCATCAAATTTAAACTCCAAAAGCTCAAGCTTAACGTGATTTTTTGGTCGAACTGAAGCTAACCGTCAAGCTTGTCAATTGCCTTCTGTGCTTCGTCCGCATATTTGTATCGAACAAACGCAAATCCCCGAGAATCCCCAGTCCTAACAGAAATCAAAACCAACCAATTACGCACTCAAATTCATCAAAAGAAAAGATTAAACGCAAAAGAGAGAAAGAAACCTGCGGTCTCTGGGAATGAAGACGTCGACGACTTTTCCATACTTGTCGAAAAGCGGGTAAAGATCATCGGCGGTGGTTCCTGAAAAACAAAGAAATGGTAAGAGATTGAAGATAAAGAAAGAAGATAAGAGAAAATTAGGGATCGGAGATACGGAATGTGATGTTGAGGACGAGAAGCGAATAAGTATCTCTGATATCGGGAGGACCCGATCTTCCAAAGTGCGACATTCCTCTCTGCAACTGATCGATTTCAGCTATGGAGAGAGTGGCGACCAGCGTCTGCGGCGGATTCAGGGCTCAACTAGGTCTCTGGTGGAAGAAATTCCAACAATTTTGTATATTTCTTCCGAGGTCCCTAAATTTAACTAAAATATAAAAAATGGCCCTCTCATTAAAATACGCTAAAAAAATTAGATAGACCAATTTTCCATTATTATTTTTTTCCCTTTAAAAATTAGCTCGCCAATTTTTAATTAACTTTTTTAAATATATAAATACATTTTTCATTTAAGTCAATTTTCAATAATATTATACGTCAAAATAGTAATTATAATATTAATTTTTAAAAATAAAATGATTATCGATATTATTTATTGTCTAATTTTTACACCCATTTTAAAAAAATTAAGTCACGAAATAATTTTGAAATTTAACTAAGAATTTAAATGAATTTATTTAACAAAGTGAATTTAACTCGATAGATCTGATATATGAGTCGAAAACTCAAAGATTTGAATCTCTCCTATATACATATATATATATATATATATATATATATATATATATTATAGTTGATTATAAATAACCATTGAACAGTAGAGATGGTGTCTTTGAGCCTGGCAGCCCATTTATAAGTGACATTGTAGTGAATTTGGGCTGGGCCCAACTACTCATTTTAAGGGGTTGGGCCAACATGGGCATACGTCATCTCGGCCCATTTTATCACTTGTTTACAAGCACTTTTTTTTTTTTATAATTTAATTATTATTTTGGGGTGAAATTACCGACCAAGCCCAAGAGACGAGGCAAGTATCCCGAGCCTGTCGAGCCTACTAAGGTTTAATAAACATGACCAAAGAGGCCGCAAATATTGCTCGTCTGTGAGACCGAACTCGAGAGAGCTCCACATTACTTTAAAATCAACTCCTAATAATATGGGTATGTGAGCCAATTAGGCTAAAAGAAATTGACTAGATCAGCCATGCCACAAGGTCTACCCTCTAAACAATAAAGGGGGTCGGTTAGTCATAGGGTCGAGAGGTCAACTTGGCCAATAAAGATCGACTACATCTGGGTCTAATGTGAGACCCGACATGTATGTTATTCAATCACTACTCTTTCTCTCTAACAGAGAACACACATAAAAGTCGACCAGACTTTAATTCCAAACTACTACTGTAGTTTCAATTACATTGAGACCTCCCTGTGAACACGTTTTTTAATATTTTTATATTTTAAAATATAAAAACAACCTTAAAAAAAAATTTAAGGTTAAAAATATAATTTAGAGCAATATAATTGTATTAAGGAGGGTCCCACCACATAAATACTTAACAAACTTTTCATTTTATTGTTACGCACAATTATATGCAAATGGATATATACAAGCATGGATGCGTGTATCTTTTATCAAATAATTAATGTATTTTATTATTTCCAAAATAAAATAAATTAATTAATATATTTAGCACTCGCTAGGTAGCTTTAGTCGTTTTCTTTTCCTACGTGTCACTAAATGTCCTTTTTACCCATATTTCGTCCTCGCATACAAGGGCATTTACGATATTTCACATCTTCTTCACACGGGCTGCCATTTTCCACGTGGATCTAATTCCATATTTAAAAAAACTTATTTGAAGAAAATTATAATAAATCTAATTTATTAATTACTCGAAATATCTTCATCGTAAATGGAAGCATTTTAATAAAATATTAATTAATTTATAATATATATATATATATATATATATATATATATATATTAATTATTATTATTATTATTTTTGCATGCAAATAAATATTGAATATTCTGGTGCTCCTGCCAAATATACTAACTATGGAACCTACCCTCTGTTCTCCAACTCCCCTAAATTTATAAGCTCAGCTGACAATTTATTACCCCTTATATCACCAAAGCCATTTAATCTCATATCTCTACCCACACATGCTAACCCTAATTAGAAACCCGAGCACCCTCGATCTGCACACTGAGTAATAACGCGTATTCTGTTACGAATCCCGACTGTCCACTTTAAGCATAAGCTTTCGTGGTTTTGCTTTGAGCTTCCCTAAAAGATCTCCTAATTCTTGCATGCAGCTTAATCGTGCTGTCTAGGTCTAGAACGATAGTATCATACCAATGTGGAGGTAGCAAAATTTGGTCGTTGCTGTCATCTGGATATCGTGATCGTTTGGTTCGATCGAACTTTTTGGTGGTTGGGTTTCGAACCTCGAACGTTTTAGTCGAAGTTATGGTGGATTAGTTAGTTGAGGTATGTTCGGGGTCGAGGTGGGTCGGGAGCATTTAACATGAAGAAAGCCGATGGTGTGGTGAGGGTGACGAAAGCAAGTGTTTCATAATTTCAATGTCAATCCTTGAATTCTGCATTTAAGTGAATTCAAGGTCAATTAATGAAGGCTGGTAAACTTCCTTCACATTCATTTCTCTTTCTCTCCCACCTATAAATTTATTTAGAATGCAACCGAACCTAACCCGATTGATGTTAAATATGTATTATCGATCGAAAGATTAGAAGCTTAAATTCGATTAGAGGGGATTAGAGCTGGCGGGGTCGGGATTTGACAAGGACGGAGAATATAATCCTCGTCTCTAACCCCATTTAATGAAAATTTTTCTGTTCATTTCGTCCCATGTTCTCCATTTAAATGAGTTACAGGGATTCGGGGATTCTTCTCTCAGTTTGGGATGGGTCCTCGTGGAGCCTCACACGTTAAATGGGTTACGGAGATTTTGAGATTTCGAGATTCCGCTCTCAGTTTGGGACGTTTATAAATCTGACGTTTACCTATTGTTGAATTAATATACATTTTAATATATATAATATATAATAAATGGCTTAATAACATCGCACGTTTGGAATACAAATTTACATCTATTTGTCTTTATAGACCTCCTCCTCAAACTTCTACATCATTCAAATAAGTTCGATGATATAAGGATTTGAAATTTGAATTCGGCACTTCATTGTTTTACATGACCACGTTACCTGCTTGTCGGTTAATTCCTATGAGGTCACCCAACATAAAATTGATCAAAGAAAACATGTTGAACTTTAGATTTCCTATGATCGAGCTGTAACAACTCAAACTTACTATTAGTAGATATTATCCGTTTTGGCCTGTTACGTATCGTCGTCAACCTCACGGTTTTAAAACGCGTTTATTAGGGAAAAGTTTCCACACCCTTATAAACATGTTTAACTTTAGATTTCCTATGATCGAGCTGTAACGGCTCAAACCTACTACTAGCAAATATTGTCCGTTTTGGCACGTTACATATCGTCGTCAACCTCATGGTTTTAAAACGCGTCTATTAGGGAAAAGTTTCCACACCCTTATAAACATGTTTAACTTTAGGTTTCTTATGATCAAGCTGTAACAACTCAAGCCTACCGTTAGCAGATATTGTCCGTTTTGGCCCGTTACATATTGCCGCCAATCTCACGGTTTAAAAAAAAAAACCCTTACAAGGAATACTTTCCACACCCTTATAAACATGTTTAACTTTAGATTTCCTATGATCGAGCTGTAACAGCTCAAGCCTACCGCTAGCAGATATTGTCCGTTTTGGCCCGTTACATATCGCCGTCAATCTCACGGTTTTAAAAAAACCCTTATAAGGAATGCTTCGTTCTCCTCTCCAACCGACGTGGGATCTCACACGAGCCATCGAAGAAAAAGATGCACGTTATTGATATTGATAGTAACTTCTTAGATGATCGAGTAGGTTCTCTTTTTCTAAAGAAGATTCGAACATCTTACCTCTTAATTGATGATATATGTCAATTACCATTAAGCTAAGCTCGTTACGAACGGATGAACTTTCCGAACTAAGAAAAGATATTTGGAAAGTTGTGGTGAAGTTAGTAAAGTGGGTGTTGAGAGTAATGAAAATAATAAGTTCAAACCAAACCTACTCGAGCCTTCAAAATGCATTCAATCTCCCCTCATTTATTGCTTCTTCAACCTCCTCAGCCATCTCCCTCTCATAATTAACTTCATCTTTCCCTTCATTTTAGGTGTCCAAATCAGGTGGTTTTCATATTAGCCCTCAATAACCAATCTTTAGCTCAACCCGTCCTCGACTTTATTAACCCTTGATCGCCTCCGTCGTGCTCGATCTTCAGCCCGTGCAGGTCGAGTCATTACCAATTTAAACATGGCTCAACTGGTTAAAACATATACCCTCAGACAATACATGTCGAGTCATTACCAACTAAACATAGCTCAACTGGTTAAAACATATACTCTCAAACAATACATGTCGAGTCATTACCAATTTAAACATAGCTCAACTAGTTAAAACATATACTCTCAAACAATACATGTCGAGTCATTACCAATCTAAACATAGCTCAACTGGTTAAAACATATACTCTCAAACAATACATGTCGAGTCATTACCAATTTAAACATAGCTCAACTAGTTAAAACATATACTCTCAAACAATACATGTCGAGTCATTACCAATCTAAACATAGCTCAACTGGTTAAAACATATACTCTCAGACAATACATGTTGAGTCATTACCAATCTAAACATAGTTCAACTGGTTAAAACATATACCCTCAGACAATACATGTCGAGTCATTACCAATCTAAACATAGTTCAACTGGTTAAAAAACATATACCCTCAGACAATACATGTCGAGCCATTACCAATCTAAACATAGTTCAACTGGTTAAAAAACATATACCCTCAAACAATACATGTCGAGCCATTACCAATCTAAACATAGCTCAACTGGTTAAAAAACATATACCCTCAAACAATACATGTCGAGCCATTACCAATCTAAACATAGCTCAACTGGTTAAAACATATAACCTCAGACAATACATGTCGAGTCATTACCAATTTAAATATAGCTCAACTGGTTAAAATATATACCCTCAGACAATACATGTTGAGTTATTACCAATCTAAACATAGTTCAACTGGTTAAGACATAACCCTCAATCAAGATTACAGAGCTACCTTAATTACTTATAGGTAAGTTGGGAAGTTTCCATTTAAGATTCTCATCGGTAGGATTCTAGCCTCGAACTCGTTCTCCTATATAACCAACCATATCCCAAACACAAGAAAAAACAACATAGCCCATTTAGAGCCATGGTTCCCTTTCAATCCCCCCCTTCTTCTCTAAATGACAAGAGATTAGAAGTTCGAGGGTCTTCCGAGAATTTAGCAAAGAAGAGGAAGTGGGAACAACCGTTGCAACCACCGCAGATCAATTCCATATTCGATGTCGAGCTTCACCTCGAAACTCCGTTACCGTTCGATTGGCAACGATGTCTTGACATTCAGGTGTTGCTATATATACAATTTCTTTTCAATACCGTTTATCTTAGGTAAATTTATCATAATCTATTACTTTAAGCTTTCGAGCCTAATGGGTTATTGGTACTAATTCTTTTTTAGTCGGGGAAGATACATTTCTATAACACGACGACTCAGAAGAGAACGTCGAAGGATCCAAGGGACAAGCTTGATATAGACGATGACGTCGAGGGAGACGAAAGCGACGAGGACATGAGTTTGGACCTCGAGCTCAACTTGACATGCGAATCGTTCGACAAGAACAACAATCAAACAACACAAGGAGGGCGGCGAGCCATAGGTGGAATGTTCGGCTCGTCGGAAAATTACAAGCAGCAAACGGAGATGGTGGCCGCCGTTTGCATGAGGTGTCACTTGTTAGTGATGATGTGTAAATCTTCGCCGGAGTGTCCTAACTGCAAATTCATAAACTCGCCGGAGCAGACCTCGCCGGCGATGCTAAAACGCCGGTGTTACCTTTCTTGGTAAAGTGATAATTATAATTAAAACTTTCCTTCTTTAATTTGTGTTATTGTCATCAACTTTTTAAAAAAGATTATATGGGGAGGTTTGTAATGTGTAAATATACAAATTTGTGTTTTTATTTGTTATAAACGTCGAAAACGTTCCTTCAAATTGGTTTGTCGGTGAACAACGAGAAAGAAAAACGAAATATTTCGATACGATACAATTCTCTTTATAACGGGCAGCCTAAAACCTACCTGATTTTTCTTATATATCTCGATCTTTCTCGTTTCTCGTAGATGTAAGAACAATATTTGCACTCTCAGTAATCGTCTCGAGTACTTTACACAGTTATCAACGAATTATTAGGGTTTAGACTTAATCCGAGCAATGCCATATTCCACTATTAAGCCATTAGTAATGGTAAAAGCACTGCAAAACAATTCACGGATAACTCGAGATGGGTACGGGTTTATCTTTCTTCGTTACACTCTGCACACTTGTCGAAGTTCTATCAAACAACGAGCACGGGTAACTAGATGGTTAGGGATAGAGCTACAAACCCAGAAAAATTCTATTTTTGGACACGATGATGAAGAAGTACATCGAATACAGATAAAACGGTCAATCTTATGTTAATTTTTTGACGAACGAAATAATTAATTTAAAGGGTCGGAAAAGTGCCTAACCATTAACCAACTAAATCATGTGAGCTAATAATGATTTATATCTAACTTTTGAGCGACCTTACAACACAAAATAATCATAAATGAGAGCCTCAAATCTATTGGGTATTAAAGCTCTTCCATGTACTCTAAACTAATAGTGTCCTTAAATAGGCCGCCGTAGGTCCCATCAATTAATCCTCTTGTCGCCTCCATTTTAGGGTAACCCTTAAAACAACCACACATCCCTATACTTTTATTTTGCTCTTTTAAGACCTTCCCATTCAAATTCTAATAAAGCCCTTTTAATGGGTATGGTTCGTTACGACGCAGTCCCGTGTAAGGGCATGGATAAGATTGTGAGACTGAGAAACGAAACATTTCTTACAAGAGTGTAGAAATCTCTCTCTAGCTGACATGTTTTAAAATCGTGAGACTAACGATGATATGTAACGGGCTAAAGTGGACAATATCTGCTAATGGTGAGTTTGGGTTATTATAAATGATGTTAGAGCTAGATATCGGGCGGTGTGCCAATGAGGATGCTGGGTCCCCAAGGGGGTGGATTGTGAGATTCGACATTGGTTGGAGAGAGGAACGAAGCATGAGTGTGGAAACCTCTCCCTAGTAGACACGTTTTAAAATCGTGAGGTTGACGATGATACGTAACGGGCCAAAGCGAACAATACCTACTAACGGTGGGCTTGGGCTATTATAAATGGTATTAGAACCAGACGCCATGGTGTGGCAATGAGAATGCTGGCCCCCAAGGGAGTTGTGATGTCCCACATTGGTTGGGGAGAAGAACAAACCACCATTTATAAGGGTGTGGAAACCTTCCCCTAGCATACGTGTTTTAAAGCCTTGAGGGGAAGCCCGAAAGAGAAAACCTAAAGAGGACAATATCTGCTAGCAGTAGATCTGGGTCGTTACAGGAGTGGATTGTGAGGTCAATCCTCTCCCTGGTATATACATTTTAAAATTGTGAGGCTAATGACGATATGAAATGGGTAGTGGATAGTATTTGTTAATAGTGGGTTTGAGTTACTATAAATGGTATTAGAGCCTGACACCGAGCGGTGTGCCAATGAGTATGCTGGGCCCCCCGAGTGGATTGTGAGATTCGACATGACAATATCTGCTAACAATGGGTTTGAGTTATTATAAATGGTATTAGAGCCTGACACCGAACGGTGTGCCAATGAGTATGTTGGGCCCCGGGTGGATTGTGAAATCCGACATCGGTTGGAGAGGGGAACGAAACATTCCTTATAAGAGTGTAGAAACCTCTCTCTAGTAGACACGTTTTAAAATCGTGAGACTGACAACAATCCGTAACAGTGTGTCAACAAAACATTCCTTATAAGGATATAAAAATCTCTTTCTAATAGACACGTTTTAAAATCATGAGACCGATCACTGTACATGACAAACATGTTTTACTCTCATACTAAATTAACAGCTTTTTATAATTAAAAAACACAGTTTGTTGGGCCGACAATTTTAGGGTTTTGCATTTTCACTTTCAATGGGCTTTTTAATTGGGCTTATGTAATATGCATTTTTTATTTTTTAAAATATAAAATACAATTATTATTATTAGTATTATAATTAATGAAATTTTATTTTTTAAAATGTAACTAAAAAAAAGTTCGATAGATATATTTAGCATTTACATAATATATGTTTGTTGATCTTAATTTAAATTAATTTTGGCTTAAAAAATAAAAATTATATTTTGAGAAATATTTTAAGGGGAAATTAAAAATTTAACTGAAAAAAAAAGTTTTTTTTTTAAATCTAAAAAAAAGAAAAATAAGGAGGAGGAGATTGGGGGAAGATTGAGCCGCTCGAGAATGGGATTAAGTTGGTTTGATAGGTATCATTTCGCGCGGCCTGAAACTGCAAAATTGATTCAGCTATGAGAATCGAATCTCTCAAATTCCCATGAATCTCCCACTTTGAATTCTCCATTCAATCATTTTTCTTCTTCCATTGTTGAAATGCCGCGGCCTGAGCTTGGTTCTTGCAGTTCATTCTTCCAAGGACCGTCTCAATCTCAGAGTTTGTCCTGCTGCAGTACCAATTCGGGGTTCTTCGTCACCGGCGGCTTGTTTATTGACTCGGCAGTTCCATCTTCCTTCGCTAACTCAATTTGGTCGAAGAATTCGTCAGTTGAAGAGTCTGGTTCTGTTTCTGTTTCGGCTTCGTTCTGTCATCAGGAACAACCTGTGTTTTTTGGGGTTTTGCGGTGGCGGAGGAAGCCTCGAATTGCTGACTGCGGGTTTTTGTCTCTGAGTGTGCGAGGCGATCGTTTTGTCCCGGAGCAGAAGGTTCGTGCTGATGGATATGAGAACTGCGAGAAGGCGGGAAAATGCGAGGGAGCTCTTGCAACTGTCGAGAACGATAAACAAGAGAAGAAGTATACGGTACATAAAAGGAATGCTATGAATACTACGAAGCATCTTTGGTCTGGTGCAATTGCTGCCATGGTTTCCAGGTCTGCCTTTACATGTTCGCTTTCAACTCATCGTTTTTGTTTATATCAGTATAGTATTATCGATTAGTTGTTGTGACTATGCTAATCAGTAGATTCAGATTGTTTTGTATAATGCTTTCCCCTCCAAGAACTCTTTATCATCAACTCGTTCATGAATTATCGTTCTGTTCTTATGCATTATGATTCTGTATCTGTAACTGGTTAGTGGAGAAACTTGATCGATGAAATGCGGTAGAAAATATTTAACGGACCTGTTCATTGCATTCATGTGGACTGGTGTTTTCCCTCTATAGCTAGACAACATAGTTTACGATAACCCATGTCCATGGTGATGAATGATGATCTTGTTGTTGTAAGTTTTCATGAAGAATAGGTTTATGCATCTCTTATGCATGTGTTGTCGTTTATTTTGGTTCATAACTCTCATTTATTTGTTCATAACCCTTTTGGTTCATCTTCCATTTTGATACACGAATCATCTTGATTCATGTATGACATTAATGCTTCTACGCCTATATAAAGGATTGGCTAGGATGGTTGAGATATATTGAGTTTGAGTGTCATTTTGTATTTGTTGAGTGACATTTGGGAGGAACTTTGTTGAGAGACTATGTAGTATGAGAGTGTGAGATATACACTTTGTAAACACTTACACTATTGAGATTGGTTGCTACCCATGGAAGTAGGGGAATTTCTTCTCTATGTAGTGTGAAAGTGTGAGATCTACACTTTCTAAACGCTTAGATTATTGAGATTGGTTGCTACCTATGGAAGTAGGAGAATTTCTTCTCTATGTAGTGTGAGAGTGTGAGATATACATTTAGATTATTGAGATTGGTTGCTACCCATGGATGTAGGGGCATTTCTTCTCTCTGAACCACGTAAATCTTTGTCTCTTTGTTTAATTTCTGTTCGTGGGTGTGTGAGTGCGATCGATCTAGCTTCCGCTTTCATTACAACACTCGTAATATACTTTTTCAAGGTACAAGAGCCCGTATGTAAGCATTTGATGAACTAAAATTTTCGCCCTTTCAGAAGGTCGAGCAATAATTCAAATTTGAGGTGGTTGGGGCATTTACAATTAAATTAATGAATGGTTTCTAAGAAACACTGTAGTAGGTTCTTGCTATCTTCTAAGTTCTTGATAGATCAACAATTTTATTGTATCAGAACTTTTGTTGCGCCACTTGAGAGGCTGAAGTTGGAGTATATAGTTCGTGGTGAGCAGGGAAATCTTTTTTACGTCATCAAGAAAATTGCAGCTTCTCAAGGCTTAAAAGGGTTTTGGAAGGGAAACTTTGTCAATATTCTTCGAACTGCTCCCTTTAAAGCATTAAACTTTTATGCGTATGATACTTACAGAAAACAACTGCTTAAATTGTCTGGACGTGAGACTACTTCAAATTTTGAGAGATTTGTTGCTGGTGCTGCAGCAGGCATCACTGCTACCGTACTCTGCCTACCACTTGACACTGTATGTTATCATAACCTTCTTCTGCTTCTGCTTCTCTTCCCCCTTTATTTTTTCTTTCATTTACATCAGATTATCCCTAAGAGAGATTCTTCTGTCTTTGAAGTATGGTTAATGAAGAAAAGTAATTCTTGGGGTTGTTACTGAGAGCAAAGATTGAAAGAAAAATGGTGCTCTGGTCTTAAGGATTGAAGAGTCCTACACAATGACCACCCAGCCTATGGGTGATCTTGGTGCCATGCATTCAAATATGTTTGAAAAGCCATAGAGGCTTTCTTAGAAGGCATCTCAGCTATAATTGGGGGTATGTAGAATGCAATATGAATATTCGTAAATCACAACGCTACCCATCACGACCTGGGGATTCGAATGTGGTTTAGCTATGAGAACTATCCAGTATCCTCTAGAAAGGATAAAGGAAAGAGAAGCAACGACCGGATATGGAGTTCCTCTTGACCTTGCTAGGCACTTTGTTGCTCGAACCAGGACACATTCAAAGTGGTTAAAACTTCTCTACGCCATTATTAGTTTGAAA